ATATTTCACAGAATTGAAAGCATACAATTTGAAGCTGTCCCACACTTAGAAAAGAGTATAACAATTCATACATAACATGGAAAAGATGATCAGTACTTATCTAATTTATACAGTGAAAAGATGAGTACTGTTTAAACTATTATTGATAAGTTTTTAAATCAAGCTCCTTAATTCTCAATGTTTCTGATGTTTTACATTACATACTAAATAAATAGTAAGCATTTTTAATATTTTGACACAAAATATTAAAGATCAGAGAACAGTTGCAATTATGCATCCATGCCTTTGTACCAGCCATTCCTGCTGATGATCTTATATGCATCTTCCCAAACCAGTTCAAATGTTAAGATTATTTTGCACAGTTTCAGCTGGCTGTGCAAAGAGAGGGCTGCCTGTGTATTCAAGGCACACCTTTTTGAACACCTGTTTATGGTCTTAAAACTAGTACATCCTAAAAATTGGGTAGGTTTGCATGGACGACTCCTTCAACATTTTGTTAAAAGATTTTGCCTTAGCTTGATAAGTGGCCTGACTTAGGAACAAGTGTGCAGGACTGGGATATTGGGAAAATTGTGTTCTGGTCTCAGCTTTTTGATTAAGTAGCTGTATAATCCAGGGTGAGTCACTTAACTCCCTGGCTTCGATTTCCCCTCTATAAAATAAGTGAGTGAATATGATGACTTTAAGGTTCTTTTGGGAACTACATTTCTATAATTCTCTACCATTATATATTTTTAAAAAAATATTTTTATTGATTTCAGAGAGGAAGGGAGAGGGAGAGAGAGAGAGAGAGAAAATCAATGATGAGAGAGAATCATTGATAGGCTGCCTCCTGCACGCCCCACACTGGGGATCAAGCCTGCAACCTGGGCATGTGCCGACAAGGAATGGAACTGTGACCTCCTGGTTCATAGGTGGATATTCAAACACTGAGCCACGTTGGCTGGGCATCTGCCATTATTAAAGAGATAAAAATAGTGGAATGCTGCCCATCCCCAAAATTACTTCCATTTGCATGATAACAGTAAATGTTTATTGAGTGAATAAATGACATCAGTGGATGCACATTTTGTGGTGGGAATTGTGAATACAGATATAAATCATCTGTGGTCTCTGCCCTTAAGAAGCTAATATTGATTCCTTTTCTCTTCAGTGAAAATTAAACAAGTTTTAGAGGTTCATATAATGGATTAATTCATTGCTTTTCATGGTACCTTCTGCAGGACCTTGTAAGATACACGAAGAAAAAAAGGCCCATTATCAAACCAGTTACATTTATTTTGTATACAGACTATATTCTTCTTATGAATTTGTCTCCAATGAATCTTCTATTAAAACAGAATTAACTGTTTAATTTTGTTAAAGCAGTTAACTTTGCTTTACCAGAATGACCCACATTTGAGTCTTTCAGGGCAGTTGGGGAGACTGGATGCTTGCCTAGAAGGGCCAATCACACTGAAAACTGCCAGTGGGCCGTTTTCAAAAAAGGATTTAGATATGAGATAACAAAACAAAGCTATTTTAGTTTTAGGTATAATTTCTAAATCTCAGAATCATTTTTCAGGTAAAAAGGAACATTGAATCAACCTGATTTTAACACTAAAAATAAACTAATAGCTACCAAAATTTATTTTTATGAAGATGAGCTATTAAGTGCCATGACAATCACACAGGAGAATACAAATCTTGGACAATGTTAGTTTGTACCTGTTTTCACAGGCTGTTAAATGTGAGCTTGGCCCCGGCACCACATTAGAGTAAATGTTACATCCCAGAGAGTTGCAACTCATTACATCACTGTTGAATCCCTTCACCCTCAAGGCCTGGAAGGTTCTGAGCAGAAGGATTTTGTGGAGATTGCTTTGGAGGCTTTGCTGTGGTTTCTCACCTCTGCCTCCTTAGAGCCAGCCCGGAGAGGGAGGTGCGGGCTGCTGCTTGCCTCCCACCGCTTTCCTGCAAATGGAGGTGTGTTCTGGTGTGACCCTGGCCTGGGGGTCTGGGGGTGTGGGTGTGCGAGCAGCTTTAGCACTGAAGGAAGAGGCTGCTGAGTTTGGCTGGGCCTTTTCTCCAAGAGTCAAGGTTCAGGACACGGATGTGGGCTGTGGTAGAGCAGCCTAGGACGGTTCTCATCCTGCCCAAGAACCTACGACCTTGCTGGGGCTAGAAATGTAGACAAGTGCTCAGTGGAGACACAGGACCGTGCCCTCCTCTTCTGTACGTGAGCGCCAGGGCAGGAGTTTTAAATACTGCTCCCACACATGAATGGAGACTGTCTCTGTGGCTTGAAATGACTATAGAACTTCTATGACTTACAGTAACCAGGTAAGTCATAGCACCTAACCTAATATTCACTCCAGGGCGAGTGGGTTAACCCACTGACCTAAAGAAACTTAGAGAGATGCCGGGAGACAGATCAGAGCTGCTTTCACGATTCCTCCATGAGCCCTGCTCGTTCAATGCACGGCTCACACCGTTAAAGTCAACCAAGACGGGGCACATATGATACTGGCAAATGCCTGCAATACAGCAAGACGCTATTATAATGCAACACCCACTACATATGTGCCCGTGAACCCCTAAGCCTGGTGCTGTGAAGAACACATTGGCCGTGGTTTAGTTTATGTGTCTTGTGAGACTAGGGACAGGGGCAAGAAGTGACATGTGAGAAGAGGTCACAGTACAAGGGAGGCACAAGCTGACTCTGGCCAAGGGGCAAGCCCTATTATGGGGTCCCGTAGTCCCTCTGTCCACCACTTTGGGGGCTTCTACTGGGTACCTCGCACTGGGCTGGATATTGCGATTCTAAAGCTGTTGTTTTCCCTGGCACCTCACAATCTAGCAGGGGCGACGAACAACAATGTAACGAATTGACTCTGGAGGTATAATGAGTTAGTGTAAATCAGAGTAAGCCTGCTGGGAGGTTCATTTAAAAGTGAGGGTTAGCCAAAACCGGTATGGCTCAGTGGATAGAGCGTCGGCTTGCGGACTGAAAGGTCCCAGGTTTGATTCCGGTCAAGGGCATGTACCTGGGTTGCGGGCACATCCCCAGTAGGAGATGTGCAGGAGGCAGCTGATCGATGTTTCTCTCTCATCGATGTTTCTAACTCTCTATCTCTCTCCCTTCCTCTCTGTAAAAAATCAATAAAATATATTTAAAAAAATAAAAATAAAAGTGAGGGTTAACAGCCGTGGCCAGTGTGGCTCAGTTGGTAGGGCACTGTCCTATGCACTGAGAGGTCAGAGGCTCCATGCCCAGTCAGGGCACATGCCCGGGTTTCAGGGGCTCCATCCCATTGGGGGTGTGCAGAGGCAGTGGATCGATGTCTCACCCTCATCGAAGTTTCTCTTTCTCTCTAAAATCAATAAAAAGTGAGGTCACCTGGCCAGTGTGGCTCAGTGGTTGAGCACTGACCTATGAACGGAGAGGTCACAGGTTTGATTCCTGGTCAGGGCACATGCCCGGGTTGCAGGCTCAATCCCTAGTGTTGGGCGTACAGGAGGCAGTCCATCAATGATTCTCTCTTGTCACTGATGTTTCTCTCTTCCTCTCCCTTCCTCTCTGAAATCAATAAAAATATATTAAAAAATAAAAATAAAATAAAAAGTGAGGGTTAACAGTGGAATTTGGCTTTAAACTAAAGGTGGGCATTTGCTAGACTGAGAAACATTTAGCCTTTGGTCTGCATTCACTGTGATCCTTAATATTGCATACGCATGAGTATCATCTGGAAGCTCCAGACCTCCAGAGAGTCTAACTCAGATGGCATTCCAAAGCTTAGGAGCACTGGCCCTCCACCCTCCCAAGATCCCATGTATTCCTGACACAGTAGGTTTTGGCATTTGGGAACCACCAGAAGGTCTCAGCAAAAGATGTGACTTGGGCTTATGAGGGCCTGTTGGCTACCCTGCACCTGGTCATGGTTTTCCTGAAGACGGCACTCAAAAAGTCCACCAAACAAACATAACTCACATCTCTTTGTTTTTATTGCTATTTTATAAGGCCTAATATTTTTCTAAAAAAAAATCAGTTTACATGTAGTAAGTTACAAGTAAACAGCTATAGATAACATAGCCATTAGAAAAAAAAAAGAACTAAGAATGAAAACAAAAGCAGTAAGCAGCAATAAAATTAACACCTACATACAACTAGCAGTGCAATAAGATAAGCAGAAAGCAGCTTTACCTGGAAAGAAAAAGTGATTTAAATACAGAAATAGCACCTTACAAAAAGGAATTGAGACATGTAAACGTGGTAGGCCGATTCAAGTATAAAAGTTATACCCCCAACTCTTGTACCAGAATGAAAGGGTTTCACAAACCCTGGACAGTGTAGGGCACACACCCTCCTCAGTGCCAACTCAGAGCTGCATTTCCTTAGTAGGATCACCAATGATTGTTTTTTTCTTTTACTAAATCATACAATGACAGACTCAAGATTGCCACTGCTGCGTCACGGCCCCAAACACCCAAGTCCAGCTCAGCAGCGTCACTGAGTTGGTGGCTCTGTAAGAAACAGACGCATCATCAGGACAGAACCGCCATGCGTTGTTTCCACACGTCACACAGCCACCGTATGACGTGGGTACTGAATACAAAAGGCACCTGTTCTTAGTTTTCTATCGCTAAGTATGGTCACAGAATCGTGATATTCCCATTTATGGGGTTACTTCCTAACACCCCTCAAGAACTGTGAATTTTCCAAGGTTTATGTGGTTATATCATGAACAGAATTTTTTTTAAAAAAAGATAGTAAAGTTACAGTGAGGAACATCTAAGGACAGAGGAGATAATCAGTCTATGTTTTGATTTAAATGCAGACCTCTTGAGTGAAAATATTTGGGGAGAGTCTCCAGCAGGGCAGCTCTGACCTGCATCCCCCTGTGCAGGTTTATATCCGAGTCCTGAAAAGGGCCTGTTTTCATTTGTTCCGATAGGGATCCCATCATATCCGTTCAAGGTAATCATTACCATGCAATGGTGGATGACTGAACATTTTTATCTGTTGAATTCCAGAGAAGGTTGTAAAAAAGGGGAAAAATAGCATCTTGTAAACTTTAAAAGTTTAGTGTTAGTAAAATTTTATATGGTAGCAAATTTACTTATTCTAACTACCTACTTTTAGTTTAAAAAAAAAAAATCTTATGGGGGTATTAAGGCTAAAAATATCCGGTAGTTAATATAAAGCTACTTTACACAGACTCCCAGAGTCTCTTAAATTAACATTTTTATTCTTTCATATAACATTTTATTGGGTCCAAAAATAAAAATAAAATAAAACCCTAAACCAAGACTCCAAATCCAAGATAGAAATTTAAAAAAAGAGAAAGGAATGAAGAAAGAGGAAGGGAAGGACCCATTTATTCTGAAGAAACAGGAGTGAGGTTAAGATCAATAAATTTAGGCATACAAAGATCTCGTCTGGCTATGTACCGAAGCCCTGAAGTAATCCGGGTTGACAAAGGGAGACTGCATGACAGCTTCCCAAATTGCAGTCACGCTGAACTATAAGCCCCTGTTTTCACGTGCTTGCTCTGCGGTCCTCTAAACATAACTCTGGTTTGAATGCTCTTGGGTACTCAACAACCTGTGTCCACTTTCCTCTCACCCTTCCAAACTGAAGACAAAACGTAAAGGAAAAAATAATCACCTATTGTCCTATTATCAGTTTCTACATTAATTCTTCAGAATTCTACCAAAAGGTCCTATTCAGATTCCAATTTCCCATACAATTACTTCCCACCCCCCTGATTTACTCAATGAAGAGCAATTGTTAGAAGGCATCCAGACCTGACATTTAATATTTAAATAATAAAAAAAAAGAACCCCACAGGGGTATGTAGTGAAGGACAGCGAACACAGTAAGGTTTTTTTTTTTGGTCCACAGTTAACTGAGAGAAGCAGCGGTTCGGCCGCTGTAGTTCATCGAAGCTCTTGTGCCCAGACAGGGCTAGCACATCCGTTGTAGCAAGGTGTGCCATTCACAGTTATTTTGGTCTTGACATTCTGTCATGTGTACCAACATTATCCACATTATCTCTAAGTTGTAAAGTAAGTGCAGGGCAAATTATAGGGGGAAAGCACAAACATTCAAGTCGTCACACCCTGAAGAGCATGTTTTGCTGTACAGTGGGGCCTTGACTTACGAGTTTAATTCGGTCCGAGACCGAGCTCGTTAAGGAGCTCGTTAACTCAAATTACTCTATCAACTCAATGCAAAAAATCGGCCGAGAGACAGCTGGTATCTCAAAAAACTCGTTAGCCGGGACATTCGTAAGTCAAGGCCCCACTGTACTTGTAAACTTTTTGCACTAAGTCCCATTCCGGGAACACAATAAATAACACGGTAGGATTCACCGTAGCTGTCTTCCTGATGAAGCCTAGAAGCCTTAGCTTTTTAATCTGCAGAAAGGAAGGCTCTCTCACCACAGATCTACTCAGGGCGAGTGGAAAGACACGTCAGGGACACTCACCCTGGCTAAGTGCTGGACAGGCCCCACCTTTAGGGAAACCACAGGCTCCAGTAGCCTGTTCCGATCTACTTCGAGCAAATAGAGAATTCTTGGAGCAGGAACACAAGTCAGCGGGCGCTTTCCCTGCGACACCAGGCACAGAGTCTGGGCGCTAATGGGTACTAAACGCACAATTAGTAACAATGACTTTCAGGAGAATAGACGGTGATGGGAAGTTAACGTGAGGACCAGAGGGTGAAAGGCGCGATGGCGTGCATTCTGCTTCGCTCCAGCGCCAGGACCTGACCCGTGACAGACAGGGAAGCTCGGGCGGTCTGAGGCACGCCATCGGGCAGAGCACCCGGCTAGTGGGCACCGCCGCTGGGTATTTCAAGTCTCCGCTGCGCCGAGCTGGCGCTTTGCGACTGCTTACTCTCTCTTCTCCTAAGGACCCGGTCTCCAAGGCTGCCGGGCGTCTTGAAGAATGTCTCACAATGTGTGTGTCGGGTGCTCTTGGGGGTCCCTGGAGTCGGGGACTACAAAAGAAAAACAGAGTAAATAAAAGCAGAAGGGAAGTCAAATTGTTCTCCGTCTCTAAACTGGAAGTCCTGTGTCATTATGGTCCCTAAGGAGACGGTCCCTCCTCTTTGCTTTTCTATCACATTCATGCGACTTATCTCCTCAACACTTATCACAACTGGAAATTAACTTATCTTGTGTGCAGAAAGGCAGCCTAACAAAGAATTTATAAGCGTGGCACCTGGAGCCAGGGCCTGGGCTCTGCCATAATTAGCTGTGTGACCTTGGGCAAGTGATTTAACCAGTATGTCCCCCAGTTTCTTCATCCATACGATGGGGATGATAAAAGTACCGACTTTAGAGGTTGTAAAAACTGAACAATAAAATACTGATAAAGTACTTTAGAGCATGCCAAGCAAACAGTAAGTATGTGTTTCTTGGCTCTTTTTGTTTATTGATATTTACCCTCTCCTGTTAAATGTTAAACATTTATCCCCTTAACAAGCTCTAGGAGGGCAGGACTATTATCTTGTTTACTGTTAAACCCTCACTGCCTAGGTCAGTGCCTGGCACATAACTGGTGATCAAAAAGTATGTCACGTTGTAATAGCCTTGTTTAAAAACTACCATGTTTATTTCAACGTCTACTAAACTTCTGGGCCTCTGAATAAAATGTTTAAAATATTTTTTTTTGCCGCAACATAACTCTTTCTTTTGGAGAGAAAGCACTCTGAAAAATGCTTAATGCATGAAAGGAATTCAACAAATACTTATTGACTAAAGTATAAATGGAGTTTGGGGGAGAAATATAGTTTGATTAATTTATATTAATCATATACACTTATAAATGTACATTTGCCTCTATTCTGAGTGTGTATGCATATAGATGCCTCCTAAACACTGCATTTTAAGAAATGACAGGTGCTAAAAATCTTTGTGTCAGTATCAAGACTTCCAAAGTTTCTCTTGTTTCTGCACAATTAAAATTCAGGGTGGTCTCCTTTATGGACCTAATGAAATGAAAACTTGGAGAATCTGAACATTCAGCATTCATCAAAAATTTACCCAAACTAAGCCTAAAATAATTTCCTCTAATTAAAAACAAATAATAAACATTTTTGTCTTTAAAGCACGGATCTCCTGCCATAGGCCTTTGTACTTTATAAGCAGGTAATGGGGTCTGTAGGGGAAGCTGGGAGAACCTCACCCGGAGCCGCTGCCCTGCAGTCAGGTGACTAAAACCAAAGCTGGTGAGATGCAGGCACCCCCGTCCCAGAGCGATGAGCCTTCTTGTGCAAACGGAAACAAAACTTCAGGGCTCACCTGCTGTAATTTCACTACAGAGCCTGGGTGTCCTTCGTACACTGGGGATGTGGGCTGGGTGGCGTTGTGGGGTCTGGACATCACTGGACTCTGGTTAAGTGAGTGGGGACCCTGAAGCTGAGGGTCTGCCGGAGAGAGTGTTGAGGAGTTTGGGTTAACCAGGGCTGCAGGGCCGATGAGAAGATGAGGCGTTGATCCGAGGCCTGGCAAGCGGAAATTCCCAGGTCCCATGTTTGGGACAGTGCCAGGAGCAGGGGAAACCGGCCCAGCCATTGTGGGAGAGTAGAGAACAGGAAATGGGCCCAGTGTCGAAGATGGTAAGACCATGCAAGGGACACCAAGGGGTGGCAGCTGACCCGAAGGTGGTCTCATAGCATGAGGGGTCTGGCTACCAGGTAAGAGCACATTGAGACCATTTAATCCTGAAACAAGCAGAACAAGGCAGAAGTCAGAATGAAGGTCCCATTCAAGCTCAAATTCCTCAGGGCACTTGCAAATGGGAGCCCCCAGTAAATCAACCCCACCTGAGCAGTCAGCCCCTCCCCATTGCCCTCCCAGCCTCTCCCCTGTGTCCTCCCAGCCCCTTCCCTGTGCTCTCCCAGCTGGCACTGCCTCTTTGCAGCAGCAGCTCTGGCTGAAACCCCCCACATTTCTGTGTGAGAACTGGGTGGATGCCTGTGTCTCCCGTGGGGGATTTCAATGTGAACACCACTGCACTGAAATGGAGGAGGAATGGAACTTGGATGGGAAAAACTGTATCTTTACTTCTATGACCTGTAGCTGAAATTTATATTTCCCTCAGTTAAGATCATGGGCAACACATCACAACAGTGTTACTACTACCTTGACTTTGTCACTAGAACAAACACAGATATATTCATAGAACATCACAGCTATGGCAGATTTCTGAAGACTGTTACGCTCATCACAATTTTGAAATTATGAGAGTATTGGATTTTTTGTCACATATTTTTATTACTATAATTAAAAAACATTTTTCTAACTGTATCTATAATAATAAAAGCATAATATGCTAATTAGACCGGACAGCCTAACGACCTTTCGGACATCCTTCCGGGTGACCTTCCGGATGAAGCCGGGGCTGTGAGGGCCGAGCCGCTTGCAGGAATTTTGTGCACCGGGCCTCTAGTTTCCATATAATTGGCTTCCTTTATAATCCTTGTGTTCTGTGCACTTGTAAGTGTGCTGAGGAGGAATCCCTGGGCTGTACCACAGAGGCAAAGGCCCATGGCCGTGTCTGGGTTTTGTTCAATATATCTGTAACACTGAGAATCACGTTTAAACTCTCACAAAATACTTGCTAAAGGAATAAAGAATGTCTTCTAGAGGAGTGAATAATAACCAGTTCCTACCTACCTGTGAAGTGAACAAGGACTTGAGGAAAATCAATTTAAGTCTTTTTCCATCCAGAGCAGCTTCATGTACTCTGTGCATATCTAAATTAGGTGTCTATTATATTTCAGCTTTACTTCAAAATGGTAACAGCATTTATTGAGTCTTACTAAGTGTCAGACACTATTATTCTAAATGCTTCAGATGTATTCTCATTGAACTGAATTTTCACAGCACCCCTCCCCCCAGGAAGCAGGTGCTGTTGTGATTGCCGTTTTACCAATGAGGGTGGCTGCAGACAACAGGGGGCTTTCACACCCAGCCCTTCTGCTGCAGCCCTGCCACCTGACCAGTCACAGGCTCATCCCTCTGGACATTCAAGAGATCAGCACACTAGGGGCACACAGTGGCCAACTGGCTCACACTGTCACACTGAACCAAAGCCAGACTCAGCCGAATTATAAAAAAGAATCATTTTTTGAATTTGTTGTGCCTTTTAAAATTTTAAATCCTCACCCAACGATTTTTTTATTGATTTTAGAGAGAAGAGGGAGAGAGAGAAACATCGATGTGAAAGAGAAACATTGATTAGTTGCCTCCTGTAGGTGCCCCAACCAGGGATCGAACCCACAACCTAGGTATGTGCCCTGACCAGAAATGGAACCCACAACCTTTTGGTATATGGGACAAGGCTCCAACCAACTGAGCCACTTGGTCAGGGCTATTGTGCTTTTTTAGTAAATAAAGTTTAATACATTTTTATTAAAAAAAAATCGCTTGCGTAATTATTTTCCCATTAACCTGGAGGTTGGCAAAAGTCTAAGCAGCCTCTCCCTTCGTTTCATCCGTGGAGGAAACAAGAGGGCTGAGAGTAAAATGACTGAGGCCCATCAATGAACTGCTTTGGTCAGGTGACACGGAACAAGATTTAAAAATCCAACTGATCGTCGATTACCCCAGGGGCCTTCGGGACATGACGACATCCCTTACCGGCTGGTGGCTGCACGTAAAGACACTGCAGCAAAGAGGGCTCGGTGGTGCCTTCATTTTCTTGCAAAGGCTTTTCAGTCTCTGTGTTCCTTGGAAGACTTCCCCACTCGGAAGAAACGAAGGCATGTGCTGGAGCTTTTCCCCAAACGCCCCTTGCAGCAGGCAGGTGGCTATTCAAGGGCATGTCTTCAAGGAACACAGATGCCCTGTTACCCCGCATCTTGGGAGAGGCAACATCTGAGGAATCTGCGGATTTCTAAGCACAACCAAACCAGGAACCAGAAAAGCAAGTCAAAATCCCAGCAGCAAATCTTAATAACAGCTTTACCAAAACAACTAGCATAGAACAGGAAGGTCAAACACAGCTGTGCACAACAGTGACTTGTGTATGTCTGTTGTCTCAGGCACGTTTTAGGAATGGCCTGAAAATCAGCGTCACGCCTCAAGCATAGAAATGGCGGAGATTTTCATAAACGGGAAAACGGGCCATGATGTTCAGATTGTGCAATGTGTTTCTGAGCTGCCGGCACAGAAAGGGTGATGATACCACAGTCTTTGAGGGGCCTGATAAGAATTGCGGGGAGGCCCAACGCTGTCTTGGTTATCTAAGGCACATACCAGTCAGTCTTTCATTTCTGTTCTGCAACCCACACTACATACACACTTAGGAAAATTTGCCCCGGCAGCAGAAAGGGCCTTAATTAATGAACTGATTCCCATGAAGGGTGCCCAGCTGACCCACTACAACCCGCTGCAGTGCCAGTGCTCCTGCTGTCTGCGAGCCTCACTGGTCACGCCTCATCAACCTCTGCATGGCCACTAAGCCGGAGACGTGGGCAGCTTCTGTGTTTGCTCTTTTCACTCTGTGGGCAGGGAGACGGGATCTCTGAGCAGAGATGAAAACTGACCAAGCACAGGCTCTGAAAGTGAAGTAGCGTCCACATTCCTGACTCTGGAACTTAGCTGAGTCCTGGATTAAGACGGTTTGATGATCTCAATGTATTTAAAACAAAAGGACGGCAACAAGACCGGGAGGAAATATACAGGCGTGTGAACAGTGGTGGTCTGTGTGGTGGCATTATGGGTAGAACTTTTCTTTAAACGTTTTGTCATTTTATACAAGGTGTGACTTTTATAAAAATCACTTACTTTTCTTATAGTACTACTTTACGGCAAGCCTTTTGGGGAAAGCTAGTTCAGGCCTTAAATATGCAAGTGGCCCCTGAAATACCCCCTATTCCAGACTCAGTAGCTTATTAACCTCAGTGTGTCCTCACTAGGAAGAAGCTCTGTTAACAGGACGTCCCTGAACACACCCACCCAAGAATCCACCGGGATGCCCTTACCTTGGGCATGACCAGGGACAGAGGGCCGTCTTCGTAGCCCCTGCTTTGTCTTTTAGCGGCCGGCTCCTCCTCCTCCTCCTCCGGCAGCTGCCTCTCCTCACTCAGGCGCTTCTGGGCTGCAGGCGTGGACCACAGCGCTGCGGCTGAGGCCTCTGAGCCTCTGCTGTCCCTCTCGGACCCGGGCTCCGGGAGCGGTCCCTCCCGCAGGCTTCCGCACAGCATGAACAGAGAGGTGGAGGGCACGTACAGCAGGGGCTGGCCGGCCAGCAGGCCTGGCTTCAGGCTCTCCACGTCTGAGGCCGCAGAAGCGAGGGAGACACCTACTTGTCTATTCAGACCATTCTGTGTGGAGAAGGCCTGCAAGTCCGTCTGAGGCCTTGCAGAAAACACCTGGTGGACTAAAGGATTGACACAGTATTCTGAGTCCACAGGGTGGACAGGCAAAGGAGCGGCGGGGTCCAGGCTGCTGGATGGAAGCGTCACCCCCTCCCCGTCCAAGGCTTTGCCCCTGTAATAAAAAGAAACAACAGGAACCACTGAGATACCACATTCTAACAACTCCCGACTCTACTTTTCTGAAGGGACGCACCAAAGCAAGAGTGGGGAATACTGCTCGGTTGTTAAAGAGTATTCCCTGAACACACATTAGGTAACCTAACCGCAGAGGCGGTGACCAGGTATAACCAGGATGGACGGTTGGTGGGGAGGAAGGAGAGCTGATGGCTGATGGGGGAGTCACTCTGGGAGGATCTCAGTTTAGAGCTAACACTGGCCCCTCAACTGCCTCTTCCACATCTAATAGTTATCAGTTACCCAGCAGGTACCCCTTACCAGGCACATGGGTACTACAATAATTAGCATAACGTTATAATACTTTACACAATTATAATAATACTACGGGCCCGGTGCATGAAGTTTTGTGCACGGTGGAGGGGGTGTGGGGGTCCCTCAGCCTGACCTGCACCCTCTCCAATCTGGGAGCCCTCTCCAATCCGGGAGTTTCTGTCTATCTTTGCAATCATATGAGCGAATTGTCTGAGACCCCAACCCAGTTTGGTTTGTTGCTCACAGAATAATAGAGGCATTTTTTTCCCTTTGCTTCATTGGTGGAGATTTCCTGGAAGTTTTAGGGTATCTTCCCTTTAATTTTTCCTAGACACTCTGATTTTACTTGTGTCTCTCATCTTTGTTTTCCCTCCATCCCCCACCGCAACAGTCACTTGCTCCAGGCTCACTTTGGTCTAGTGTCTAGGACAGTGGTTCTCAACCTTCTGGCCCTTTAAATACAGTTCCTCATGTTGTGACCCAACCATAAAATTATTTTCGTTGCTACTTCATAACTGTAATGTTGCTACTGTTATGAATCGTAATGTAAATATCTGATATGCAGGATGGTCTTAGGCGACCCCTGTGAAAGGGTCGTTCGACAGCCAAAGGGGTGGCGACCCACAGGTTGAGAACTGCTGGTCTAGGAGATTGGTCTGCCACCTGAACTACGATTCCCAGCATCCCTGGTGCCCCCCGAGCTCTGGGCTTCTGCTTCTGGTCCTGGGGCTGCCATAAGAACTACTATTCCCAGAATTCCTGGTGCTCCCTGCACTGGGAGCGACGGAGGGAGCCACAGCCCCCCAAGCCTCCGGCTCTCCTGCTCTGCTCTCCGCCCAGTGACTGAGGGAACCATGTCCCCCCAAGCTGCCAGCTCTCTGCTTTTGCTCTCTGCCCGGCACCTGTGTATGCAAATTAACCCACCATCTTTGTCAGGTTAATATGCATATCCACTCCTGATTGGCTGGTGAGCATAGTGAAGGGATGGTCAATTCACATGTTTCTCTTTTATTATATAGGATTAGTCACCACTCTCATTCCCCCTCTCCCCCCCTCCCTGTTTACTAGGGAACAAAACTGAGGTCCAGAGGGTAAGCAATCTGCCGAAGGTCACCCAGAGGGGCCTCTTGTTCAGTCACCGTGAGAGATCTGGGCTGCTTAAGAGACTGGACCAACTTTGATTTCAAGGATACATCCCATTCATCTCACATCCTCTGTGAGACAAATGAAGTGGGCAGTGAGTGAGGAAATACACTTATCTACAAAATTATTCTTTTCTGTCATTCTTGTCCCATTCTGCTCAGTATTACTATAGACTTTTTAGGCAACGCATTCAAAATCAAGGCCCATCAATATGTGAGATTATAAACATTATCTGGCCTTTTATACAGAAAAATTTCCAAATACTAAAAAACAAAAATGTTTGTATGTTCAGTATATTTTTGGAAATAGATGAGGAAACTCCTTTAGAAACCAGTAAACAGAGAACAGGGATTTCTGACTACCTTTTTGATGGAATCACTGAGACCTGGGTTGCCCATAATCTCACTGTCCACTGTGCTGCTGGGAATAAAATGGAGTGCTCCAGGCTGCAGTGCTGAGCGACTCAACCACAGCCCCCTCTGAATAAGCAACTGCTACTACTTAGCTCTGTGTCCACTGAGCACATCACCCACCTTCCTATGCCCAGCCGTCTCCCGTCAATCTTTCCATCTCCACCACTGTCACCATCATCTGAGAACCACGTGTTTCTGCAATGCCTCCTCCTGCTCTGGTAGGTCCTGCTGACTCACCGTTTACACTGCTTTCCACCTCTGGCTGCGCCAGCTCAGGCCTGCACCACAGAATTGCTGCAAAGGCTCTGCTCTGTGATCTGCTCACCTACTTCTAATCCCACCTGCTTAAAGCAGCCAGAATGGTCTTCCCTGGTGAATCTGCAATAGTCTGCACCACCTGTCTCCTAAATCCAAACCCTTCTACCTGGCTTTCAAAGCTTTTTGCCAACTTGGCCTACTTACCTCCAACACCCTAAGCTCTTCTTCTGAATGGTGTTTCCTTTCACTATCCTATTTGGGTAAATCATTATCATTAATCAGCTTGCTGTCCCTCCACTCCCTGACCCTTGCCTCAGAATCTGTTTCTTCCCACATCAGTCATTAAAAATGCCTCTTGTTCCTTCTTTAGCATTTCCTCTGATAATATGTGACTGCTGTAAAAGGAGAATAACAGTACCAACCTCAAAAGATTGTTATGACTAGCCCTGGCCAGTGCTTAGAGTGTCGGCCCATGCACCAAAGGGTCATAGGTTCAATTACTGGTCAAGGGCACATAAATGGGTTGCAGGTTCAGTGCCCAGCCCTGGTGGGGGCGCGTGCAGGAGGCAACCAATTGATGTCTCTCTCACACCGATGTTTCTCTCCACCCCCCACCCCCCACTTCCTTCTATTCTCTCTCTAAAAAAATCAATGGAAAAAATATCCTCAGGTAATGACTTAAAAAAAAAGATTGTTATGATTAGATGAGTTAATATACATAAAACTTTCGGATAAGTAACTGGCAGTCACATGTTACAATGATGACAAAGTGATTCATGGACTATGATGTATCATTTTTCAGTGTCACACTAGTAGTGATTTGTCTTTTGGGGGGGGGCATTTGTTTAATTTTTTCCCCTATAAGCTTTCATAGCTCAGGGGATAATTTTTTGTACTTTTGTGTCCCTGATGCTATATCATGCACACTGTTTTGCATAAAGGGAAAACTTACAAACTTTTTAATAAACAAATGGCTGACTTAGGAGCAAGATTGCTAAAAGTTATCTTTGGGAGGGTGGCATTTCAATTTAGTCCAAGTTAACATTCGGAAATAGAGAAGAATACACCTGGAGTTTTTAAAAGACTTACTGTGGCTTGTCTTCTATTTGCTGTTGGTAAATAGCTGCCAGACTTCCAATTTCTAGGAAGCCACCTGGTCCTATAAAAGAAAAGGAAGGTCTCAGAAATACAGCAAGGGATGTATACCTACCAGTTTTTTATAGCAGGACACATTTTCACATCTCAGGAACTCTAAGACTATCTCAAGTCTATTCTGGTTTTGATTCAAAGACAGACATTTTGAGAAGCTAGCTGTTACTGGTAAATTCAGGTCTCATCGAGAATTGGGAAGAAAAACAAAACAAATGTTGCTTTGTAAGTCGGATGCATTTTTGAGATGCATCAAACAGGCCATCCGTGGCAAGCTAATTGATCTTCCAGGCTGACTAGGATCAATATCAAGGAATAGGCCCATGGTCACACCCTGTGAAGTCACCAACTCTCTACCCCCAATAGCTGTCCCACTTCAGGGTAGTGAAAAAACAGGCAGGGCCTAGAGAGGTGACTGGATTTAAAGTGCCAGCGCGTGGATAAGGCCACGATGACATGGGCTGATGGAGTCCAGGGTTCAGCAAAGGCAGGTAGATACCTTGTTCTTCCCTGGAAGGGCTGCTGGGTCCCGAGTTCACTTTCCTGTGACTCCTCTCAGAAGCTGGAACTCTGTTGAAGGAGCCACGTCGAGCCAGCTTCTGTGCAGCACAGACGTGAACTTTGCTGTACATTTCACTTTTCAGTTCTGGTAAGACAGATGCAGCAACATCCACTAGTTCTTCATCTACAGAAACGGAAGATTTGGCAGTGTTGTTACACAGCTATCATTCCGGATAACTTTACCTTTTTAAGATATGGCTTGGAAAGCCTATCATTGTAATGGAGCTACCCTATCAATGAGAAACTCAGACACTCCAAGGAATTATATGAGCCTGTCTCAAACCCCAATTTCTTCTGCTGTACAATTCTTTTTAAGTTAGTGGAGGACTATAATGTGAGACTAACTCCATATATGTTCTAAAATTACCTAAACTGCAATAAAAGTAGAGCAAGATGTTTTTCACCCCAAAATAGAAGGGACCTAACATTTTAGATACTTTCTTTGGGCAGAGTATCAAAGCGAAGCCCAGCTATGCTCAGCTCAACGTGCATATTTTGAGGTTTTTAACAGTAATTGAAATCAGTCTCTTACGCTATAACTCTAAGGCAATAAATATAAAAATTTCTGGATTCTATTGCTTTATTATTTCTTATGCAGTAGGAGGCTCTGTTACCCAGTGACCAAGGGAATAAGGTCAACAGAAACCTCATAGTTGAAATGCTGCAGAATAGTAAGGATAATAAAGGGCTGGGCCCGAGGGGCCCATTTTATGCTTCAAGGAACCGATATGAAGTCAGGACAGAATTTCTACATAGAACCAGGCCTGTATTTCTAGGTAGAAATAGTCCCCATTGCTGTTGCTCAGACAGTTATTCCTACCCTGCTCTTCTGTGCTGTTTATTTCAGAGCTCAAAGCATGCCCATTTTAATAAGGCTGATTAAACAGACGGAAAGGTCCAGCCACACTTACAGTCTCTAAAACACACAAACATTGAAAAAGAAAATCACCTTTATGGGTTTCTATTTCTTATAACAAAAACACAGTAAATGTTCTTTTTAGAAATTCAGAAATTACAGAATCAAAAAGAAAAAAATGGGTCAAGACAATAACAGGGATCAGAGTTCCCCTCCTTCCTGAAACGAAACATTGGACAATATATATAAATCAACCAGTGGCTCTCACGACACTGAACATCAGGACATGAAAGACAATGATCCTTTAGAGCCAGGAATCAAGTGAGGTGAGCTCCATGACTGCCCCAATTCACTGCCTGGAGACTGTTTCCAGGTTGGGGTGCAGAGAGGGGGACCTTGAGAGAGCCTGGAAGTCTCTCCAGGTTGAGGATGGAGCTGGGAGGCCAGGAAAGCCAAGGCAGCTGGAGTTTGCATGGCAGAGTATTAGAGGAGAGCCATACAGGAGAATGCTGGAGATGGGTGGAAGGTGCCCCTCGGGTACTCAGTGGAGTACTCACACAGGTGAGAAAACTACCTAAGGCCAGAGGGAAAGAACCACTCAAAAGGAGCAGAAGGAATACTGTGTTGTTTCAACAGTGGGGACAATGTACATGCATATATATATGTTTTAATCCTCACCCGAGGATATTCTGTCATTGCTTTTTAGAGAGAATAGAAGAGAGAGGGAAAGACAGAGAGATACCAATGTGAGAGAAATACATCAATTGGATGCCTCCTGCATGACCCCCCGACTAGGGCCTCGGCTGGGGAGGAGCCTGCAACTGAGGTATGTGCCCTTGACTGGAATAGAACCTGGGACCCTTTGGTCTGCGGGCCAATGCTCTACCTACTGAGCCAAACTGGCTAGGGCTACATGCATATTCATTGTAGCTTTATTTGTAACAGCCAAAAAATGGAAATAATCCAAATGTCCATCAACATGTAAATGATTGAAGAATGATATAGCCATACAATGGAATACTTCTTAGCAATAAAAGGAAAAAACTACTGATAAATGCTACTACATGATTAATCTCAAAATAATTATGCCGAGTGAAAGAAGCCTGATAAAGAGTATAGGAGGTACAGCCTGTTCTTGTTGTTTGTGGTTCTCATGTTCTGTAAAGTGCGCAGGAACAATTAATTAGCAAACACTGAAGCACTGCTCCTAGAGGAAATACAGGGTTAGGTTCCTGCATGCTTCTGGTCACATTTTTGTCAACTGATCTACACATAACCCTGTTTTATGTGTTTCTGTTTAAAGACACCTTATTTAATACATATTGTTGATCCATCAGTTCTGAACTCATAGCAAACAGCACTAGAACTCATGTCTCAATGAAGCTCCTCTAAAATGTATTTTCTCTGTAAGGTACATCACTTAGAAACACTAGACAACGCTTTAGCACAACACTTGGGCACCATTTCAAACAGTGAAATCACCAACTCCAAGCACACAAATGTGAAACATGGCATTAAAAGGACCACAAAAAGGACACTTGTTTATAGTATGAGAGCTGAAACAAGGCAGAGCATTGTCCAGCTTGACCTCAGTTGGCAACTCAAACTTTCTGCCACTCTCTGCATATCTGTGAACAACTTAGAAAATGCTGCATTACTTTTGGAGTGACAAATTTGAGTAGATAAATTTGCAAATATGGAATCCAATATAATAAAAGGCTAATATGCAAATAGACCAAACGGCAGAACGACTGGTCACTATGACATGCACTGACCACCAGGGGGCAGAAGCTCAATGCAGGACCTGCCCCCTGGTGGTCACTCATGGCTCATGGCTGGCAAGCGCAGCGGTAGGAGCTTCTCTCGCCTCCGCAGCAGTGCTAAGGACCCCCCCTTGGGGGATGTCCAACTGCCAGCTTAGGCCCATTCCCTGAGGGGACATCCCCTGAGGGGTCCCAGACTACAAGAGGGTGCAGGCCAGGTTGAGGGACCCCCCTCCCCCCAGTGCACGAATGTCATGCACCGGGCCTCTAGTCAGTGAATAATGACTGTAGGTGACTCACTGATAAAATTTTTTATAAAATACAAACAAATCTGGAGTGAAAGAAAGCAGATCAGGGGCTTCCCCTGGGGAGAGAGGAGGGGAGGAAGGAAGGAAGTTTGAAGGGACAGAAGAGACTCTGAAGGGTGATAGGCTCACTGTCTTGACTGCGGTGATTATTTCACAGATGCAGACGATGCAAAAGTTTATCACATTGTAAATTTAACCACATTCCACTTATAATGTGCCATGATACCTCAATAAAGCTGTTAAAAGGAAGAAAAGCCATGACGGTGGAAAGGGAGACAGGAAAGAGACATCTATGAAGTTTAATTGTGAGGCACTGCTAATCAAGGAGTGAATTAAGGGATCAAAGGTAACTCGATGTTCCAAAATTGACAGCTGGGCTGATGATGAGGATATCAGTAGAAACTAGGGAATGCAGAACAAGGATCATATTTCTGAGGGTAGGTAAGCAGCTACTTTTGCGGTTCCTGACCTGGTTCCAAGCCCTCTTTCCCTCCTCAGATCAGAGCTCCCCCCAGTTGCTGTCCCACTGGTTATGCAAATACATGAACTCATTTTCTCAACTCCAGCTCATTTCCCCAACTACCTCATTTTCTGCAATGACACCACCATCCTTGAACCCCTCCTCTCTTTCAACCTATCTAAAGACTAAAGATCCCTTGTCACGTCAGTCTATGCATGTAGTACAAATGTCTTGCTTACCCTTTGAAGCCCACCAAAAATTCTGTTCCAACTGATCGTACTTCATGTCTCATCACTCTCTGCCCTATGCCCTCCACTCAGATCATGATGGCTGATCTCTCCCCGACACACCAGACTTGTGCTTAAGTATCAGTTCTTTCAACTAAAAAGCTCTCCATCCCTACAAAACCTACAAGTCCATCAGAACTTCACCCATATCCTTTGATTTCCTACAGCACCACTACCACCATGTATAGTGCTTGACTGTTATTCTAAGTTTCAAATGAGTGCTAATTATATGACTTCAGTAGAGGCTCATTAGCCAACGAAAGTGAGCAAGGCACGGATCTGGGTACTTAGGTAATCAAAGATGAACAAAAACCTCTTCTGCCCTCAAACCCATGGAGCAGGGACCACAGCATCACATCAGCATCACCAAGTACAAGAGCATAATACTAAAGTGCAGTAGTTCAGATGAGAGACTCTTTGCTCTGGGTGATGAGGGAAGCTTTATGAAGGAGTTGACATTTGTGACAGATCTGGAAAGGGGAACAGAGTATTTTCATGTCCAAGAGAAGAGGGCTTCACAGGTGAAAGGATGAAGAGAAGCCAAAGGCAGAGCAACAGAAAAGGGCAACGTTGTGTATTCCATGTAGGCACGGGTGGTGTGCTGTATGCAGCTTTAGTCTCTCATGGCACGTGCACAGTCCACACGCAGTAAGTACTTGCTGGGTGGAATTAGTTACATTAGATTTCAAGCGGTTTCATCTAGATCCGAAGTGAATAATGTGCTACAATGAGGTAGAGAGCTGTATCTTCTATAGGCCTGGGTTAAGTGGCAGGAATTTATGCCACTAACACCAAAATTGCAAGGGTAATTTAAAAATAATGTTAATGGCTTTTTCTCAGGCAGCCTAGTTATATGTAAAGTAGCTGGTACGGTAGGATCCAGTCCCTGTGAAACAGGTAGAAGATAATACCCTCTTCTGCTCTAGTTTAGTGAAATTGACATTTGTAACCTTTGAAATAAATGATAAAAAGAACAGGTGTTCATTGCATCTATACTATATTTAGGAGCCATTTTTACCATATATTAGTTTCATGATAGCAATAATATAATTTTTACATTATGTGGAATTTCAAAGAAAAACAATATTTTAGGTATTCCACTAATGTGGACATCACTCGAGCTTATAAATGTCATTTTAAATCCCTTGTCCCAAATTTCCAGGGGAAAAAAAAATCTTCTGAATAAAACAGAACGTGCTAAAGGGCTATAATTTACTAGTTATAGGAACTCCCACATCATAAGCTCTCAGTATTTCCCCTCCTACTGTGTGAGCCGACCAGCACGTACCATTTGTAGACTAACACTCACTGTTCCGAGAGTGACATCACAGTCTAATTTGAATGTGACTTGGGTAACGGAAAATGAGGGCGAAGATCGATCTCACTCTGTAAGTGTAGGATTTTAAATAAAATCGGTCCCTAACAAAACCATGCCTCACCACTGGAGGCGAAGTCCACAGGCCCGATCCACTTGAAGGCTGGCTTACGGCCTCGCTCTTCCGTCACGTGCACTTTCTTGATCAGAGCCAGGCTGGTCAGGACATTGGCGATGTCATAGAGACGTCGGACCTTTGCTGGAAGACATCAAACACAATTACGGTCATGCTGCCTGTGGCACCATTACATTGTAGTTTACGTGACAGGTCACTTTTCTTGGCCACCATATACACCTCAGGGGAGAGCAGTGGGGTGGGATGAAATGACCAATGGCTCTGTCATGAAACCACCCAGGATTTATGCATCTGCAGCCACAGACCAAGGTCGGTGTGTCCTTCTGTTTCCACAGCTTCACACCTTTCAAAGATAAGCAGGGAGAGCCCTGATTGCAAAAACACCCGAGGGAGGGAAACGGGCTGTAATTAGAGGCTCAGTGTGATTCTGACGTGTGGCATGTCGGAAGCCTGCCCGAGCTTCTCCCAGCAGGAGGCTGTGGCACCAGCTCAACCAGGCAGCTGGGCTGTGAACATGACAGGGAATCCCCAGAGCTTACTGCAAAGCTGCACTCCTGGGCACAGAGGTGTTCCGGGCTCAGGATTCTGAGGTACCGCCGTGCTGAAGACAGGCAGTTCCTCACCTGAAGTCCCAGCCTCTGGCCACCCAGAGGGGAGGGGGTGGGATGCACAATCCTTGAGTCTTAAGAGGTTTGGGGAGACACATTTGAAAATGCATGGACTAGAAGAGAAATTCAGAAGGGGTGGTAACACAGTAAATAGGCAGGTGATGCCCAGAAAGTAATTTCTATTTAAGAAATCAATTTACAGGTAGGAAACCCACTTGACTTCAGGGCTAAAATAAAGCAAAGAACATTGATGATTGTCTAGAAATAGCAAGCATTCATCCCAGATGCAATTTTCTTCCCAACAGGGGGAGAGCTTAGATTTTATTTAGTCATTTCTCCCACAGGATGGCTATAATTCCAGCTGGAAACACAAACAAACAAGGTATGTTGAGCTCATGCCTCCCCAAGGCTTGAAAGGACAACCAGCGGCCAAGGGCCTCTGGCTTGGGACCCACGCTCGACAGAAAATAGGAAACTCAGAAACGCTCTCCTTGTCCGCAGCCATGTCCCACCACCCTTCCCCTACTCTGGCCACTCCGCTGCTTCTTACCTGTACACACCTTTCATCTCCACCCATCGGAAGAGTAAGCGGAGGGTGGGGGTGGGGTAGGGGGGGAAGGGGAAACAAAACTCAGACATTCTGTCTTGGATGCTGCGGTACTAAAGAGAAATGCAAAGTATCTTACACCCACCCTGATCTGCATTTGTGGATGGCACTCTGCTTCCACCGTCCACTCTAACTGCCAAGGAGACGTCAACGGGAATCCTAGCAGGTGACTAACTTACCTCTCACAGCCCCAAGGATTCTGGGATGCAGGAAGGAGTGCACTTCTCCAAAAAACCATTGTTCTTTTACTTTCAGAGGCAGAAACATCACCGTATGAATCCCGCCCTCCCTGGGCCAGCGAGGTGGGTTCTGGTGAGGGTGCTTACTTTTAAATTTACTGTGGTCCAGCACATTCTGGCTTCCTTCTATCAGGATTTTGGCAGCCACATCGAGAGTAACAATCTTGGTTTTAGAGACGAGGAACAGCATGACAAACTTCTGGCTCATGATTCTCAGAGACTTGTCTTTTCTATTTGCAGATGCTACAAAGGGAACGAAACAAAGGCATCAAAAAAGATAATTTAGCCAAAACCGGTTTGGCTCAGTGGATGGAGCGTCGGCCTGCGGACTGAAGGGTCCCAGGTTCGATTCCGGTCAAGGGCATGTACCTGGGTTGCGGGCACATCCCCAGTAGGAGATGTGCAGGAGGCGGCTGATCGATGTTTCTCTCCCATCGATGTTTCTGACTCTCTATCTCTCTCCCTTCCTCTCTGTAAAAAATCAATAAAATATATTAAAAAAAAAAAAAGATAATTTACCACAAGAAAGACTCTATTTACAGTTTGCCAGAATGATCTGACTCTGCTAGTGAATGGAAAGATCACTTCTGTTACAGAGAGAAGCCTTCTGGACACACAGTCAAAGACAATGGCTCAAAAAGACAAGGCAGATTCTCTTGCTGCTCATAAGATTTCCGTAGGAATAGACGCTGAAAGGCGAATGTTAACCCAGTCTTGCTCAGTGGATAGAGTGTCAGCCTGCGGACCAAAGGGTCCCGGTTTGATTCTGGTCAAGGGCACGTACTTCAGTCGGGGCGCGTGCAGGAGGCAACCAATTGATGTGTTTCTCTCACATCGGTATTTCTCACTGTCTTTCCCTCTATCTTCCACACTCTCTCTAAAAGTCAATGGAAAAATATCCCTGGGTGAGGATTAAAAAAAAAAAGTGTGTGTGTGTGTGTTTTGGGGGGAGGGGGGGATAGGGTAGGGATGAGAAACTGTTTTCAAACATCCACTCTGACCTCAAAGGCAAGGATTCTACTTTAATTTCTCTGTGCCCACAATACAGGCAAACCTTGTTTAGTTCACTTCACAGATATTGTATTTTTTTTTTTTTTTACAAATTGAAGGCAAGATCCCTTCACCAGCAAAAAGATTACAAAGTGCTTTATAGTGGTGGTCTGGAACCAAACCCACACTGGCTCTGAGGTATGTCTGTATCCCGCATGTCCTGTAATCACAGCAGGTGCCCACCTCTTCCATTTCTTTTCAGAAATAAACTGTAACTAAATAGGAGAACTGATGAGATGTGTGCTGCTGAGGATGGCAGGCAAACCATCCCGACAGATGGCTGTCTCCCCTGGTTATTAAGATACAACTGGCTCAGGGGCTGGAACTAAAAGGCATGAGGCAGCAAACGGAATGAAAACCAGGCCCACCTTTCCATTCCTGTTTCTTAAATTTGCAAGTGAAATGTGAGTGATACTTGCACTTGATCATCTTAGCAACGGGGAGTAGGGAGAGAACGATGAGGACCAATGGTTAAGACAGGAAGAGGATAAATGAGTCGGGAGGGGAAGACCAATGTAGACGTCAGTGAAAAACATTCTGCATCCAGTGTCTAGCCTTCTAACCAACATTTGCTGCTAATGGGGTTCTTTTCTATATAATCTACTCCCATATGTAACTTGAAAAATTAATTTCATTGTAACGATAACTTCTTTCAGAGCAAATTTTCCTTAAAGGCTCACAAACAGAAACCAGCATGGGGCTGTCAATCTGGAATGGGAGCTCCGTCAGCGATCTGCGGTCCAAACACCAACCACCAAGTGATCTGCCAGTAGACAGGTTTTCAGTGAGGGTGAGTGGGCAACCCAGCGGGGGAGCCATCTGTCTCCCTTTCTTCAGTGGAGAGAGTAAGAGGACACCTCCCTCCAGGGTTGTCAATCTGGCACTTCCCATCTCAGCAGTGAGTCTCTCCAGAAGAGACCATCCCTGCCTCTCTGCTATTACCCACGTGGCTACAGTGAACTCACAGGAGGGACAGTCGGGCTCCGAGAAATCCAGCAACTGTTGATCGTGGGGATCTGCACAGCCATCTTTTTTACGTTCTCCAAATTTGTAATCCATCAGGTCCAGCTCCCTCTGCTGGAGGGATGCCATCTGCTCCTCATACTTCTGCTCTTCTCCTAGTCTCTGGAGGTTCCGCAGGGTCCTCGGCAGGCTGTGCCGTCCGTGCCAGCCATACTGGTTCTTGGCCAGCCGGCTGACCAGGTGCAGTGACTCCAGCACGTTCACAATGTCATAGATGCGTCTCCTTTCAACGCCTGTTTGAAAGACAGAAGCCAAACATCAACATGCAGGCTTTTCTGAGGATAAATTCCTTGAGAGCCTGGACCATGTCTGTGAACTACTTTGCGTGATGCCCAGTGGAATGTCCATCGAGTGTGGCTGTGCCACAAATTCACCCCTTAAAAATGCAAGTAACAGAATTTTTTTTTTCTTTCCTTTTCTTGTGACCTAACCCCCAGTAGGATAAAACATCCACCCAGAGACGGCTGACGTCCTACCTGTATTACGCACAGCAGATGTCTTTTCTTTAGCCCTGTTAGCCTGTTACAATGGGTGGGACTGAGCAACACAGGTGCTAGCATGCCCCATGGACACTGGGTGAATGCTGGCTGGCTGATTTAGACTTATAGTCCTGATTATGCAGACTATACAATAAACTGTGTCCAAGAACAGATACCTTGTCTGGACAATCCTTTCCTTTCCTGGAGTTTGAATGATGTAAAATAATTATCTTGCTAACTCTCTTAATGGTCCAATAAGGAAAACAGATGGTAAGTATTTTGTGTCCTATTTCACACTGGAAACTTAGGAGTCAAGAGTTTGGGCCCCTTCTCAAGATGATGGATGAAGCCACAGTTAGGGCTGGAACAACACCTGAGTACGCCCTGGTTCACCATGGCTACAGACAACTCTCCCGCGCTCTCATTCACCGCATCCTGCCAAGCAGCCCAGTGCAACAGAGACTTCGTGTACAGTACGGACGGACCAGCAAGTTCATCAGTTCCCTAACCCTTGCCCAATACTCTGCCCAAATAGCTAGGATTATGAGCCGTCTACTGAATTTGCCAAAAATATTTATGGTGCTTAGTGTGGGGATTTTGGGGTTAGACTGCCTAGATTTGAATCCCCGTGTTGTCTGTCCCAATCGGTGACCCTGAGTAGTGGCCTAACCTGTCTGTGGCTTAGTATTTATCTCTTAAGATGAGGAGGGTTCGACGCGACCACAAACATGAAGAGTCCCCAACACATGTTCACTGTTTGGCACTTCCTGCGTGGCACTGGGGCTACCTCGGGTCGCTGCTGGCGTCAGAGGATTAGTGGACACAGATTTAAAAACCTCCTCTGCAACAGGCCCTCGGGCTTCTGGAACCACCTCCCCCTTTGCTCTCATGTAAGTATCCATAACAGAAGCCTCCAGGCACCTAGGAGAAAACCAGCCCAGCTACAACCCGGCCCTCTTTCTGTGCACTTGCCAGGAGCTGTAATATAATCTGGGCAGACTCGGCGAATGCAGCATGTGGCCCTGCAAAGACTTAACAGGAGAAACAGACTGAATTACAACGAGAAGCCCGGAGCTGAGAGGAAGTTCATCACATGCATGAGGAGGCATTTCACAGCCGTCAGAGCATTTCAGCTCCTGACCCCGAAAGGCTCCTCACCCCGCATCGGTGCCAGATGTCTGCTGGAAGGTGGTGCAGGGCCGTCAGCAGCCCCCTGTCCGACCCCTGGGTTCCTTGCTCCAGTCTGTTTTCCTATATTAACACATCGTGTTTAGAGTGTAACATTCCATAAACCTTCCCATTAGAAATGTCATGTGAATGCAACTGAAACACCCCAGGGCCAGCCATATGCCTGGCTGTTTTGTTGTTTTGTATTAGATACAATCTGTTAAGTCTCCATCCAGTGGCTCGACATCCCAAGAAGGGAAAAGAAAGGAAGGTTCTGACCACCCGCAGAGTAAGACATTGAGTGTGCACAACAGGTGTGTAGTAGGTGATGCTGGTCATGCACCCACCTTTTCTGTCGGACTGAGCGTGCCTGTCCACTGGCTGTCCCATTTCCCAGGTCTCCAGACGTGCCAGTTACTCTGGGCCTTGTCCTGCCAGGGAGGGTTTCCTTGGCACCAGCCTTCCTTTCCTTTTGTATCCAGGCAAAACTATTCACGGCATTAGTTATGCCATCAGGATTTACCAATTCTTACCAGGCCTCCCTTCATCCCCAATGGAGCTTACCAAGAACACCTCAGCCCCATACACTATTTTCTTGGGCCGTGCTATTTTCCATCCACTAAAGTCCTTCTAGTTCTTTGACTTCTTACCTATGATATCCATGTCCAATCTATATGGGACCAGAACCTGGGAAACTGTGCAATTTGAATGCTCTGCACATCCTTGGTTAAAATATGGTCTTACAGCTTGTGACCTGGGTTGTAGCAGAGAGTTTAGACTCAACCCGAAGAGTCGGTCACCCCTGAAACAATTTCCGGGAGGGACCTCATTATTGACCTCACATGAAGAGAGATGGTAAGGTCATGTGGCAGGTCTGGGTGATGTGAGGCATTAGCCAGCTGTTGCAAAAATCCCTGGTTCTGCCCCAGGCAGCCATGATGCGGGGATCTGCAGAATGACCTGCAGCCCCTGAGCAGGAGTCTGTCCTGTGACACGGCCTTCCTACCTCCAACCGTTCATCTTCTGCACTGACGTCAGTGCAAGGTCCTGACTTCGTGAGTCCCAGTGAGGACACTGATTTGTTGTTTTACCCTCATCCTCTGGAAGACTCGTTTCCAGGATGCCGTGCCTCCAATGGGTCAAGCCTCTCCCTCCCCAGGGGGGTCACTCTGCCCTTCTTGTCTCATGGCCACCAGGGCCAAATACTGTGTTCCCATTTCTGAATTTCAAAACGGCTCCCCAAGCAAAGCGCTCTACTCCCCCTTCCTAATTGCAGAGGTTGAACAGACAGCTTAGGGAAAGCTTCCATGTAACAGTAAGAGCCACCCATGCCAGGACCCGAGTTAGGCACGTTACTGACATCGTCCCAACCTGGCTAAGGTTCTGCCAGGTAGGTGCGGTGGTCCCAGTGAGAAAAGGTTGGCTAAGTTCCTAAAGCTCGCAGGGCCTGCCAATTGGAGAGCTGGGCTTCCGATCCAGCCTTCCCTGACCCAAAGCCCAGCCTGGGGTCTTCCCATCACAACCCATCGCATCCTCATTATTTCAGCTCCCAGCAAGCACAACCTCTTTAGCCATCGGTGTGAATAATTCAGACTGACAATCGTCTACTGGTGCATATTTCTCTGGGCTATGGGAAGAACTAGAACTAATAAACAAATTAAAAATATAATCTATCAAAATTATGTATGTAAAACCTCCTAAGGAGACACCCTCCACCTGCAGATCTTTGTGATTCCTGCTTATTTAATGATTTGTCAACGATATGTTCATCCTGAAACCAACTGCCATCCATGTCCACTAGGGGTCTGTATTCGGAAGCTGCTGGACTTCTTTATAGAACATACGGCGCTGCACATTATACACACCCTCCCGTGTGAACACATGCATTCCTTTGTTACAAGGTTGAGCTGTTTGAGTTATGACCAGATGTGCTTTTCCTACTTTGGCAGGCTTGTTGTGAACAGCACAGAAGAAGGCTTCAAACATAATGCTCTTGCTCTCAAATCTTGCTTTATAATAGAACTGACTCCAATTCTGAACCCTTAGCAGCGTTATTGTAAAAATAAACAGCAGGATATTTCAAAACATTTTTTAGTCTGTCTGAAATAAGATGAAATTAAAATAGGAGATAGGGCTCTGTAATGTGAGTCTCGTCAAAGTGTTTTTTAAGCTTAAGAAAACCAAATTCTTGTTGACCCTCAGGCCTAGAAGGCCCCTGCAATCCTACGCTGAATGGTCACGGCTGAAGGAAGCTCTCCCGGCCTCTTCCTCACCCTTTTGGAGGGCCTGCCCCGGGAAACCAGTGTCCCACTATACCTGGAGACAGACCTAACCGGACAATACATACCAAGACTGACAGCCACTTCATCTAGGGAGATGGTGGTTTTCTCAGCTGACAAGGGATAACTTGGATAGCGAGCTAGAAACTTCTGGCACAGGAGTCCTAGACTTTTCTGTTTTCTGCTCGGCCTGCGTTTCTCAAATTTCTCCACAGCAACATCCCCCACAACACGAAGCTAGAGAGGGCAGACAGAAGGGAGGGAGGAGACAGCATGGTTAACATCCTAACAGAGAAATTGCAATGGGCAGTACTGGCAAGTTGGGGGGACATCCCATCCCATCCCATCCTAGAATCTAGTTAAAATACACTTCCTAACCTAATTTTCTTAGCATTCTACCTATTACCTTCTCTAGACTGAATTTTTTGTCCTTTGCAATTTGAGGCCGAGCGTACTGGTTAAAAGCGTAAACAATGAATAACGCGGTCATTTATAGGTTGCTAGAGTCTTGCTGACAGGGTGTTTGTTGGACTGTAGACAAGCATCACTAAGAGCTTGTTGGAGATGCAGAATCTCAGGCCTCATCCCAGAACTGGTCCATCAGAATCTGTCTTTTTATAAGATCATGGGTGATTTCTATTGACATCAAATTGAAGATGCACTGGTCTCCACTGTGTCATTAAACTGTTTTATAAGTTTACTAATTTCCAAGGGTTGGTGGAAGCGAACAAGAGCAGCCAAATCTTATTCTTATTGCAAGTACACAAAACTAGTGTCCCTGTCTCATCAACCCACATTTCAAAAGGGCTGAATTCAACCCAAGAAAATAAAACGTTTTTCAGTGAACATATTCAAGCAATAGGATAATCTCAATAGCTTCAGAAAAAAACATTTAATACATTTAACAACCATTCATGATTTTCAAAAATGCTCTTAGACAACTAGGAATGGAGAACTTGAATAAAGTGTATCTATAAAAACCCAACTGAAAACAAGTCTTAAAGAGAAAACCTTGGAATTACCCCTGTAAAAATCAGGGACATGATAAGGATGCTCCTCTTCTGCACCATACTGGAGATAGCCAGTGGATGAGGACAAGACAAAGAAACTGAGGCACAGGAATGGGGAAGGAATAAGTAAGCAAAACTTTCATTCTGCAGAACACATGATTGTTTATATGAAAAATATAAGACTGACAAATTATTAATAATAAGAGAATTTAGAAAGCTCCTGAAAAGACAAAACTCTTTTAGGAAAAAATCTAGCAAATATTTATTTGTATAAAATATTAAAATTTGCATCTTTAAAGAAACAGATAGGAGGACTCAGTACCATAAACAGATTAATTCTCAAATTAATCTACATGCAATGCAATTACAATTAAAATCCAATCTAAAGTACATATGGAAGAAAAAAAGGGCAAAGCATAGTCCACATATTCTGAAGGAAAAATTGAGGTTCCTGCTTTGCCTGATATGAAGGCTTATTACAACACTAGAGGCCCAGTGCATGAAATTTGTGCACTTGGGGGTGCGGGGGGGTCCCTCAGCCCGGCCTGCACCCTCTCGCAGTCCGGGAGCCCTCAGGGGATGTCTGACTGATGGCTTAGGCATGCTGCTCATGGGGAGCGGGCCTAAGCCGGTAGTTGGATATCCTTAGCGTGGAGGTGGGAGAGGCTACTGCCACCGCCACTGCGCTCGCCAGCCATGAGCCTGGCTTCTGGCTGAGTGGCGCTGCCCCTGTGGGAGTGCACTGACCACCAGGGGCAGTTCCTGCGTTGAGTGTCTTCCCCCTGGTGGTCAGTGCACATCATAGTGATCAGTCGTTCTGCCATCAGGCCAAAACCGGCTCTCCAACATCCCCCGAGGGGTCCTGGAGTGCGAGAGGCGCAGGCCAAGCTGAGGGAACCCAACGGTGCACGATCGGGGCGGGGGAGGGACGCAGGAGGGCTCCAGATGTGTTCAGCCCATCTCGCTCAGTCCTGATCGGCTGGACCCCAGCAGCAAGCTAACCTACCACTCAGAGCATCTGCCCCCTGGTGGTCAGTGCATGTCATAGTGAGCGGTTGAGCATCCTTAGCATATCATTAGCATATTACGCTTTGACTGGTTGAACAGTCGACCAGATGACCAGACACTTAGCATATTAGGCTTTTATTATATAGAATGGTATTGGTGGAGGGACGGACAAATTGGCCAATGGAACAGAAAAGAGCCCAGAAACAGATACTCACACAAGTGAAATATAATATGTGACAGGTGTAGCACTGCCAACTCCAGGGAAGAGGAAGAACTGAATACATGATAAAAGGACAAGTGATTATAAGAAGCAACATAAAGAGAAAAAAGGCAAGCACCAATTGAAATGTAACACGTATAACTGGTACAGGTTTAGTTTCACGAATATATATAATAAGCCCTACAAATCAATAAAAATGAGCAAAGAACACAAACAGGTATTTCACAGAAGAGGAGAAAACATGGTAGCTAGTAAAGATTTGGAAAAAAGCTTAACCTCATCAGTAACCGAGGAAAAAGCAAATGGATACCACAGTAATATACAATTGTACACCCACTGGATTGGCAGAAATTAATAAATTTGAGAATTTCAAGTGCCAGAGAGGATATGGATCAATATATGTTTATACGTTACTGGTGGAAACAAACAGCTCTTGGTAAAACAATCTGGCATGATCTTATGAGTGATTGAACATCCAATAACCTAGTAATTGCACTGTTAGGTATATACCCTAGAATAGTTCTCAAACTTTGTGGTCACAGGATCCCTTTATATTCTTAAAAAATATTGAGAAATATCTTTTTTAAAAATTGGTTTTCTTTTTGTTTTTTTACTTTTTGGTAGAACAGTTGGTCATATAAAATACACTTATCATGTATGTAATGTCTTTAATACCCATGACTCTACCTCCCAACCAATCCCCAAAGAGAACAATACTATTAATTTACATTTTTATAGATTTTAAAAAAATCCACCAAAATGAAGCAAACTGGAAGAGAAATAACATTCCAATCTGTGAGCAACTTTTCTTAGCAAGTCTGGGAAAAAGTTTGATGGGAGAGTGAAAATTATTGACCACTGATTTTTTTTTTTTTTAAGTATAGATATGCAGCTTATTTAATAGCTCTGGTTCACCATAGGACATGTAATTTAAAGATAACTTTAAAGCCTAAATCAACAAAGTGAACATACATGGAATAATAAAATTTCCCAGGTCAAAGACATTTAGATTAAAATTATCCTTGCCTAGCCTGCGTGGCTCAGTGGTTGAGCATCAAATTATGAACCAGGAGGTCATGTTTTGATTCTGGTCAGATTGCCCCCCACCCTTACTCCCTCCCTTTCTGAAATCAATAAAAATATATTAAAATAAAAATTCTTAAAATTGGAGAAAAATTAAATCCACAGCAACATTTATAATAAAAACACAAATTCCCCCATTAAATCAAAGTTATTAAATATCATTGCTTAAAAATGGATTTTTAAATGTGTATTGGTTAAGGGAGTATTATAAAAAAAAAAGTGTTCCCTATTATCTGTGTCCAGACAATAGGGTGCTGAAGGCCTGGGGCGGGGGCAGACTAGAGGGAGTCAATGGGGGGAAAAGGAGACATATGTAATACTTTTAACAATAAAGAATTGTTAAAAAAAGAAAAAGAAAGCGTTCATTGTGAAAAATGAGATACAGAGTGAGAAGTCCATTTCAGCTATATAAAGAAAAGATATTAAGCTTAATACTGCTTTTGGCTCAATAGTTAGCTGAAAAATTGAGAATTCTATGATTTCTTTAAATAACCAAGTAAAAAATTTTAATTCTATCAAAGCTGCTAGGAACACAGCCTGTTTACCTGCAGAGAGTCTGTAAACACTTCATCCTTGTTCTCAATGGGTCTGAACAGTCCCTTCTTCTTCTCCCAATCTCTTATGTCAGGGCTGGCAGCACTAATGAGCATCTTCAGGTTAGCTGTGGGCGTCCATGGTTCTGTCTGCTGTCTGTCCACAAGCTTAACTGGAGTAATGGGGTTTTTTTCTGGAGTGAAGATTTTTTGCTTCGATAAATCAATTGGTTCATTTTTTATTGGAGTTTTCGGGGCCATCCTTGATCGATCAACAAATATATTTTCCTATTTTAAAAAAGAGACCTTTTAGCAAGAATGAGACAGGTCAGCTATCAGCTAAGAGAACTGATTAGTTCCCACCATGAAAATACAACCAGACCATATGTTCAGGGCTGAAAAAATAGTAGGATAGGACTAATGAAAACAGAGGATTCATGGAACTCAAGGAGAAGCTCCAACGGGAAACTGGTTATAATCTGCTACTCCTTTTATGCATGTTTTTCATGGCATTGCTATGAAAGAAGTCATGAGTGTATCTATCACTGGTGAATGCTTGTAATAGTTGGGGATGAAAAGGGCAAATGTGAATTGAGTCCATATACTCCTAAGTGCCATATTTTTTAAACACTAAGTTTGCACTAACCAGTGAAGAAAACAAATGCTTTTGTAGTTCAGTGTTCAACAGTGCTAATGTAACAATTAGCAGGACCAACGGATATAAGTGCATCCAACAAAATGCCACATATAAAACGAACCTAGAGAGCAGTCTTACTTCAAAGGACTCGTATGCCACCCCCACCCTATATGACTCCCCACGTGAGATTACCAATCAAACTGACCTACAGCCTGTTCAATAAGAAGAGACCACTGATCACAGGCTTAGGTGTCATGGGGGCGATATTAAATTGCTATAGAGACTTCTAAGTGCTTACCTCTCAAGTTCTTGATTTTTTCCAGCTTGGTAATAGTTTGTGGAGTAGAACCTACCCTCATGTCACACTTTGAGATTAATGATGGGCCCATTATGTCCCTTGTAAAAAAGGACTGAGTATAGAGAACTCACATTTGGAACTACCGAGTAATTAAAACAAATTTCTTTCCCCTAAAACCAGTTTTTGGCATTCAAAAACAGAAAGATTCGGCTCTTATTATAGAAGAATTCACCTCCAGGCAATAGCGTCTTATACAATTATGAAGGTGGGTGGTTAAATATTTGTCTCTCCGTTTCCTGTACAGGTAGCACTCTATAGCTACTGTATGCTTGGATTTTGGCTGAACAGTGGTTTACAAAAAGTGCTTTCTTATAAACGAGCAACATGTGCAGAGGGAAAAGACTGGGAGAAACTGGAATCTGTGTTAGCACACCAACTCTTGTTCTTGAATTGGCAGAAGCTGCCCACTAGCCATGGTGGTCCTGTCCTCCTGTAACAAGAAGGAAACGGGTGGGGATGGGAGCCTAGGTTTCTCCCGCCACAAGCAGCAGTAAGCATCCAGCCTGGGGCGCTGCATCTATTGACTTCTCTCTCTCTGTTTTTTATCATTTAACTCTTTCTTTTTTAAAATTTTTATTGTTGACTCTATCACAGATGTCTCCCATTCCCCTCCTCTGCCTCTCTCCACCCCACCTCTGCCCCTCCCCGGCCTTCACCACATTACTATGTCCACGGGCTATGCGTACATATTCTTTGGTTGATCTCTTCCTCCCCTCTCTACCGATATCTCTTAACAAGTTCCTACAAGTGTGCAATTCTGATGAAGTCTTCTACCAGGGAACCCTCCAGGGAAAGTACTGAGGGTTTACCATGTGCCACACCGTGTTTCATGTACTTTATGGATAGCAACCTCTTCTAATCCTGTGACCTGGGTACTATTATTTTTCCAGTCCACAGCTGAAGAAACCGAGGCACAGAGAGGTTAAACAACTTGCTCGAGGTTACATACAACCTCATTCGGTAGAAAAGTAACTGGTATGCAGGACACACTGAAAGCCGGAGTTTCTGAAATTCTACATCTAGAAATAAGCTTGTCCTGGGTGCCCGTTGGAGGAAGCTGTCTTTTTCACAGCTCCAACATACAGTACCCAGCAGGCCCCCCAGTATTGATGGAGAGGTGGGATGGGGAAGCAGTTCTGCATGCAGGCTCTAGTGCCAGCTACTTGGTGTGAGGGAGGGCACGTTCCTTCTTACCAGGCTTCCATTCTCGCAACTGAAAACGAAGTTCGTAAAAATACCAACCTCAGGGTTATGAGAATAGTTCCTGGCATATGGTGAGCATGCAATAAAACTTAGCTTCTGTCTTTTCCTCTTTCCTAGTCTTTATTACCATTCATTCTGACACTCAGAGCTAATAGAATTTAACTTCTGGGGTGAATGTCTTGTTCATTCACGTGACTGTGCACTTCTGGAGGTCAGGGAGTAAGTATGTGTCTCATTCCTCACGATTGTTGGCACAATGCCTTGCTCTGTACAAGTGCACACAGAACACGGTGCCTTGGTTATCTGGTTATTCAAAAAGGTATCCCTACAGTAGAGGGTGTGGCCCAGGCTGACTGAGCCAGACAGAGATTCACCCGCCTTCTCTACCTTCCATGGCACCTGCAGTCACAGAAATGATGTGTTCCTCCTTCTTTCTGCCAAGGTGCAATTATGATAGACTGCCGGAAGCCGATCCACCCTTGCTGCTTGACGCAGTTGCTGCAGGGAAGAAACATCTGCACAGCTTATGTTTCAAGGGACCTGGTGTATATGGCATATGTTTGCTCCCCCTCTTAGCACTATGTGTTTTAAGGGTGTGTTGAAAGCTATGTGTTGAACACTGAACTACAGGACCACCTCCCCGAGAAAGGTTGTTTCCCCAGGTAGGGATTAAGAGGACTAAGGAAGAGAATAAATCAGTAAATCCCCCTAGTGTTACAGAAATACCATGTACTACTTATGAAGAACTTGGACTAAGACTGTTGGCAATAAATTTGGGACTTGTTGAGCCCACATCCCCAGGGGTCTGCCCACCAGGGAAAGCACCAAAGCCTATACCCTTGAAGATCCACTGACACAGGGCAGTCCCAGGGAAGGCAAGCAGCGAGGCTGGGAGCACATAACCTTTACTGGGTAGGATACACTCCTTCAGTCACTTCCTTGTAGCCTATCAGTAGAGCAGTGACCTTGGAATAGCCCTTGTAATGGAACACAGAGATTAACCTAGATAAGATTAAAATCAACAGAACTAGATAGAGACAGGATTTTTGGCTAAAGTCAGATAAGAAACAAGGAATTGTAGAACTTGACCCAAAACATACCATGATGTAATTATAGAGGCATGCTTATGGGATCAAATAGTATAAATATAGATGTAATAGGACAATAAAGAGAGAACCTGGCTATGATATGACCAACTGAACGCTGTCTCTGTGTCATTTATTCGTCGCTGACTCCGTCCACACCTTTGGGAACCCCTGGACCTGATGGGGCTGGACCCCAACAATAGACCATTTCCTCCAACACTTTGATATCTTTTTGCAACAGTTTAAGTATTACAGATGCACCTCGACTTATGAAGTTATGTCCTGATAAACCAATTGTAAGTTGAAAATACCATAAGCTGAAAATGCATTTACTATACCTAACCTACTGACAATCATAGCTTAGCTTACCCTACCTTAAATGTGCTCTGAACACCGACATTATAGGGATGTAACCCCATTATAAGTCGAGGAGCACCTACAATGGCCTTCCTCTTCTTCTCGCCAGAAGCAGGAGACCCAGATGGGCATTTTGTAGACGTGATGGGATGCAAAAACACAAAGCAAAAGATCCCAAAACACTGGCAACATAGTACACTGTAGAGCAGCGGTTCTCAACCTGTGGGTCGCGACCCCTTTGGGAGTCAAACGACCCTTTCACAGGGGTCGCCTAAGACCATCCTGCATATCATATATTTACATTACGATTCATAACAGTAGCAACATTACAGTTATGACGTAGCAACGAAAATAATTTTATGGTTGGGGTCACAACATGAGGAACTGTATTTAAAGGGCCGGAAGGTTGAGAACCACTGCTGTAGAGTATGGGTTGTTTACCCTTTGATCGTGTGGCTGACTGGGAGCTGTTGCTCGACACCTCTGCCAGCATCATGAGTAATTATCTTACTGCATATCGCTATTTTAGGAAAAAGCAAAATTCTAAATTCAAAGTATGATTTCTACCAAATGCGTATCACTCTCACACCACCATGAAGTTGAATAATAGTAAGTTTAACCATCTTAAGACAGGATCATCTGTACTTAAAGCAGGAGAGTTAGGTTACCTGATATGTTGTGATTGTATCACACCTCTATATCAAAAGAAAAAAAATGTCTAGCAAGTTGTTTTTCAAGGTCTCAGCAGGTGGGTAGAAAGTCGACTGCTATCTAGTCAACCCTGCTCCATCCGCCTGTTTATCCTGCAATCCTGACACTGTATAAGGCAGTGGAAAGGGGATTGAAACCAGAATTTGGAAACCTGGTTTTTGTCTCAGCTCCGGATCTTTTTGATACTGAACAAATTGCTCATTCGGTCTGGGACCAAGTTTCCTGGTCCATAAAATAAGCAGTTCAGACTAAAGTCTCTATCTCCAAGGCTTTCCAGCAAGGCTGCCCAGTGGTGTGGGTAGATGCTTGGGATGCAACCAGACTTCTTCAGGAATGAATCATTCCCCGCCGCTGCTGGAAGTGATACCAACAGGAAGCCCTTAACTGGAATGCCTTGGTCGGCCAAAGAGGGCTGACTCATCTGGGATCGCCCCCTGCCAGGGAGGCCTGACATGTAAAAGTCAGGCCCCCTTGCCCTACTCCCGGGGTCATCCCAGACCTCCCCTAGGGTAAACTCAGACTTCCCCTGAAACTGTGTTGCAGATCTGCCTCTTCCTCTGTCCATTTCTGCTGCTTTCCCTTCTCTTCCCTTCCCAGGCACTGATTCCTAGAGCTCTCCCTAGAAACCACCTGCACACTAAGCTCCCTGTCACACCTGCTTGTCAGGAAATCTAAGCTGCAACTCCCTAGAAATCACTTCCTCCCTCAGACAGAGAGAAAGTAATCCAGGACACAGGTTTTCTTGTTTCCATATGTAAATGGATGTAACACACACTGGAGAGCCTGCCGCAGAGTTACTGTGAGGAGCAGATCAGATAATGAAGGTGAAAGCAGTTTGTAATGGTGAAGTGCTATGCAAGTGTTCATCATTATTGACTATACCAGCGTCAAGACTATGCTGTACGCTGCCACAGAGAGGGGTTGGTAGTCAAAAGATCTTGGGTTTAGTCTTGCTTTTGTTTCAGATACAGCTTTGATCATGTGACCTCAAATAATATAGTCATCAGCCTTGTCAAGGCTTTTGGCCTTATGCCAACCTCTTTTCCCGTTCCATCTTATGCAAATTCCACATTTTGCCCCAACAGTCCACTTGCTTTTCTTAAACCTGCTCTGCACTTCAATCACATCTAAGCTGCTGTTCACACCATCACTTGGTCTTTTTATTTAATTTTCTTTTTTCTCTTTACTGATTAAGGTATTACATATGTGTCCTTATCACCCCATTGCCCCCCACCCCCACCCCCACCCATGTCCTGGTCTTTAATGCCATAGGCTAAGCCTTGCCTGTCGTTTAAGGCTCATTGCAAAGACTACCCGTTAGGAAGTTCCCCGAGCTACTGACTAACAGATCTCTTTCCCTTCAGAGAACTTCTAGAATGAGTAATCCACACTGAAGGCTTTCCCCTGATCATATCCCAGGGGTTCCTCAAATTATCAGTGTGTTCTGGTCCACTGCTTCTGACTGAGGTCACCTCCCAGGAGCCAGATCAATGGCAGAATACCTCACCTGACCTCACTGCAATGGTTAAGACTGTTGACTGTTCTTTGCTCTATAAAACTCTTGGTCCTGAGATAACAGTCGTTCTCTGTTGGTTCTCTTCCTATTTCTGTTCCCTCTCAGTCTCCTTCTTTGGTTCCTCTTTTCCCACTCTTACAAACCTCAGCCTGATACTTGCCTCTACTTTCTCTCTCTTGCGTAGTTCATGACTCTCATGCACATTGATTTTAAAACCAACGTGTATGTTGATAATTCTCAAGTTTGTGTTTGGCTAGTACCTCCCACGAATTCCAAAGTCAGGCAACCAGCTGCTTTCTGCACATATTTATTTACCTGTAATCATACAGATACAGATATGTATTTCAAATTGAATTCACCTTCTTTCTTAACCACTCCCAAAAGAGATGAATGACCTTCCAAAAAACCTGTGCTCACGAAATCTAGGCATTGTTCCCAAATATACCACTCACTTCTACTATTTTTTTAAATTGATTTGAGAGGGAGAGAGACATTGATTTGTTATTCCACTTACTTATACATTCATTGATTGCTTGTGTGTGCCCTAACCAGAGATCGAACCCACAATTTGGCATATTGGGATGACACTCTAACCCACTGAGCTAACCAGCCAGAGTCTCATTTCTACTTTTACTAGTTCCTCTCTACTTGCCTAAGTCTTAACCTTCATTCCTTTAAGCCAGCCGTTCTCAACCTGTGGGTCGCGACCATCGGTTTAATATAGTTCATGTTGTGGTGACCCCCAACCATAAAATTATTTTCATTGCTACCTCATAACTGTAATTTTGCTACTGTTATGAATCGTAATGTAAATATCTGATATGCTGTATGTGTTTTCCGATGGTCACGACCCACAGGTTGAGAACTGCTGCAAGTTTAAGCCCTAGCTCAAGTGTTACCTCTTTTACAAAGCAGCTCAATCTCACTGCTCATCTCTTTGTCCCAAATCATCCATTTTCTATTTGTCATGATTAAATGCACTGTGAACAAATTAAGAGAGTTGTTTATAATCCCACAACTGGGCACAGTAAATTTGGGTAACCAAGTTGAAAACTCCTTTATGTTTTAAGTTTCTCCATGAGAAATAAGAAGATGCATGTACTTTAAGAGTTCTTGACCAATCAAGAAAGATAAATGCTCTATATGCCAAATGATGCACAGGACACTGTAGCAAGCATCCCTCAGAGGGTTTTAAGAAGGAACAACTCAGCACTATGTGTTTGTGGCCCTGCTGAATCTCTTGAACATTTCTTAAACACCCACACCTCATGTTGTTTCTCCTGCCTAAAATGTCCCTCTTAAACACTCTTGTTTTCTTGTAGATTGAACATCCTCAACTCTCTCTAGACTCCCCATGAATTTTTTTCTTCCTCCTCTGTTCTCTGGGGACCACTCTGTTCTCACTATTATAGCACTTATCAAATCATAGTGCAGTTGGTTCGTTTTACATCTGAGTTCCTGAAAGTCTCTCAAATAAAGGAGGGCAGGGCCTGCATCATATTCATTTTTGGGCTATTAATTTGAGTATAGTGTGAACAGTGTATGTTGCTGAGTGCTCAACAAAAACCCAAAGAGGGAGGTGCTATTTATTAGTTGCAATTTATGGAAGAAACAGATTTATTAACTACTAATAAACGACTGTCCCCTTAGCACCTTTGACATAAATATTTGTTTAAAGATTAAATAAAATATATCTGTTTGAGGTAACATAGGGAATAGCAGAACAGAAACTCAAACCCAGATCTGACTCCAAATCCCATGTTCTCACTATCCCTAGAAATCCTTCCCAGCATCAGGAAAAGAGACAAAGCCCCTCCAAGCAACTCGCAGAAGCACTGTTCTTATCCCTTGCCTTCTCTTTAAGAGGCGAAATAATTCCTGCTCAGACATTCCATTTCGAACATTGTAACCACTTTTCCAATCACTCTCGAGTCACTTGAGTTTCCCCCATATCCATTAGAATGTGAAAGCTCAACTGGACATCGCATTTACTGATGCTGACTAACTAGAGTAGAAGTTGAAGGCACTTGATAAGAAGTCATTGGCCCAGCCCTAGCCGGTTTTGCTCAGTAGTAAGAACGTCGGACCGAAGGGTCTCGGGTTTGATTTCCATCCAAGGACACTGTACCTGGGTTGCCGGCTAGATCCCTGGCCCAGTTGGGTGCATGCGGGAGGCAACCTATTGATGTTTCTCTTTCTCTCTCCCCACCTCCACTCCCTCTAAAAAAAATAAACAAACAAAAAAAAAAACAATGGGAAAAAATGATCCTTGGGTGAGGATAAAAAAAAAAAAAGGCCCAGAAGAAAAAAAAGTGGACACTGACTTAGACTTTATATAAATGTGTACATATTTTTTCAAGGCTGTCCCATTCAAATTATAAAAGATAACAGAGTTTTGTTCTGAAACTCCCAAAGCCAAAATTCTAAAAATACAAAGTCTGGGCATTTTCACCCTCATATAGCTTGGATAATTTTTTTTTTTAAAGTTCTCTTTAAAACAATAATGCTTTGGTGTACTTCTTTTCCTAACAACAACAACAAAAAGTGAATGCTAGAAGGGAAAAACCCTGCATGGGAAAAGCATACAATTTCACACCAATCTAAAATTAATGGTTGTCAAATATTTTTCAAAGGGCCATATAACAGGTTCTTTGCAATTCATTGTTGACACTAAATCTAAAATTTAGACCAGGACCCTAGAAAAGTTCAATACCCAAGGAAGTTGCTATGCTCAGATTTATATTCAAAGTTTCTACATCCAGATTTATTATATGTATTTGCATTTGCCTAAAAACACTTAGATGCTTGCTACTAACAAGCTCTTAAAGCTTTTCGGTAGGGCACTGGTTGGTGAGCGTAACTGTGCTGATGTGGGTACAGTGATAGTTTAGATATTGCTATGAGCAGTTTACTTGGTAATGTTTCTTAGGGCACCACCATGGTCTTACAAATCACAGGGCAGCAATAAAGGGGTAATGACTCGGCAAAACCAGACCAGCTGTTGCTCTACAGAACACGCAGGGTGTGTTGGTGCGCTCAGTCACTTCTCTCCCTATATGGGTGAAGGAAACTGCCTCTAGAGCTGATTAATGCATGGGCATGAAGAACATTTCACAGTACTTTAATAATCCAGCATTTATAGCAGAGTGTCTTTCTTCCCGGGTACTCAGGTTTAACATTCCTGCACAGCATTAGCTAATTCCAATGTTGACAACTACAAGTATTACAAACTTTTGATTGAAGGGGTCAGCATATCTTTGATTAATATAAATTGGTTCCAACACTACATCTGACCTAGCCTCTTTCCACTGCACAATGACTGAGAAACTCAATTACTAATGGTTTGGGTGACTCCATTAAAAAAGTATATTTCTACAATGTTCATCACATTCATTAGATTTACAAGACAAATACAAGTGGCATATTGAAACACTTAATTGAATTAGACATCACTATCCTAAATATGTTAGACCTTAGTGCACTTACCTTTTGTGCATTTTCCCCATCTTCAGTGGCAAAATCTAGTCTGGGCTGCCTGGGGTTGATCAGGTCTTTTAGTGTTAAACAATTCACTTCCATCTGCAATGCACAATTACATTAGAAACGATCTTACAATTAGATGCTTTCTCCTCCAACAAAAATATCTATTCCACCCCCAACTCTCTAAAACGAACACGAACGAATACAAACACCCATTAGTAACTGAAAACTTGGGAAGAAAAAGTCGACAAAAGTAGTAATTATTTTATGGAAAGCCACAGAGCAAAGTAAAGTTACAAGTCAGGAAGGTGTAGGGCAAATCTGTCTGAAAGTACAGGGTCTCCTCAGGTCAGTTAATTTTGGCGCAAAGAACTGGGAGGAATTCGGCTTTAAAGAGGTTTGAACGGGGAATGGGGGGGAGAGGAAACCTGATCGCTAGACCAAATCCATTCTGCGCTTGGCGCAGCCCCTTTCCAGGCTCCCAGACCCCAGGGATAAACTCTTCCAACGTGACCCCCAAATAGCGAGGAAAGGCAAGTGCCCGGTACTGCCCGGCTGGCGGAGCAGCTGGACAGGACAGCCCACGCGGGCCTGGTCCCGCGGCACACGTTCCTCTATGCCCCGCCAGCCGAGGAGGGGAGGGGTGGCAGGCTGGCAGCCGAGGCGCGAGGTTCCCTCTCCCCCCGATTCCCGCCAGCCCCACTTACTACTCCCGCTTTGCGAAGGTTTCCAGCCTCTACGGGACCTCTACGGCCTCACGCCCGCGTGGGACCAGCGGCGTGATGCGATCAGCAGCCGGGTGGCAACATCGGGCGGGGAAGGCGAAACGCGCAGACCCCCGTTCGAACGCCCTCGGCTGGCGGGGCCTCCGCGGCGTCCGGACAGCGCCAGCGTCCCGCCTCGCGGACCGCGACTGCAGCCCCGGGTCCGGGTCCCCGCTAAAACACCTCCTCTGGCGCCTTGAGACCGAATTTGAGAACCCACCAATCAGCGGCGGCCGGCGGCGCGGCCCCGGCCAATCACGCTGCCGCACGGCCGGGCCCGCCGCCCCCTCGGAGCCTTGGCGCTCCGGGCCGCGCGTTTCGCCCGCACCCGCCCAATGGTTGCGGCCGCGGCCCCCTCCCCCTTCCGGGCACCTGGAAACCTGGCTGTCGCGAGCCGAGTCCCGCTGTGGGCGCGGGCCGCGCGGCCGCGGGAAGCCCAGGTGGGGGCGGGCGGGGCGGCGGGAGGCGGGGCTCTTTTGTTGGGGTCGGGAGACCCGCTCGGGTCCTGCAGGCTGGCGGCGCGGGGAGAGCGCGGGCACCGCGGGCGGAGGGGGAGGCAGATGGAGGTGGGAAAGCGATACACGCGGGATGCGGCGCCCCCTCCCCCAGCACCTGCGCCGGAGCGAAGCCGCCCGGGCTTGTTGGGCAAACTTGCTAACCCCGAAGCTGGGTGACGTGTGAGCCATGGTTACTGCGCCTCTGCGAGCAGATGGCACGCCCGTTAGCCTTGGAAACCGGACTGCAAGCCCAGCCAGCTGTTTTTTCCTCTGTTGTTTTTTTTTTCCCCCCTTCTTCTTTTCTTTTCTTGCAAGTCCGGAAAAGTTTCTTGGTGGTGTTCCCATTTCAGAACGTCGCCAATAATTAGAGGGGGGAAAGGCTTTATTAAATAAATCTTTGCAATAAGGACTAGTGTTCTGGGAGACAGTCGAGAACACTTCCTCCAAATTACCGATTTGTATTAAATATCTCACTCCCTTCAACTTTAGTTTCTTATTTGAAATATGAATATTGATCGAGACAGTCTTGTGTGTGTGCACATGTGCCTTCTAATAGACGTTATTGTTTAGATGTACAGAAAAACTGAGAAGATAGGATAGAGTTTCACCAATTTATTAACATTTTATGTTTGTGGAGTACTTTAGTTAAAAGCAACGAACCGATATTGATATGTTATTCTTAACTAAAGTCATAACGTTATTAAGATTTAATTGTTACCTAGTGTCCTCCCCCTTTCCCCTCCCCGCAAGATATACCACATCACATTTAGCCTTCCTGTCTCCTTTGGCTCCTCTTGGCTGTGACAATTTGTCATACGGTACTTTCCTCATTTTTGATGACCTTGAGAATCTTGAAGAGTGCCGGTAAGTCATTGAGTAGGGTGTCCCGTTGTTGGGATTTGAGACAGCCTTGGGGTAGGCATGTCTACAGACACTTCCTTACAAACCATATACTTTATAGCAGGGATATCTTTCTCCTTTTTATCCTTTCGGTACCAAGTGCTCCACTTTCCATCCCTCAACTCCCCAGTATATATATATATTGCTAAATGAACTGTCTGTAGAATTCAGAATGCTCAGCCTAGTTCACTTTGTACTCTGTTTAGATTGCTAAAAATCACTGCAAAGTCATGTGTTAAAAAGACAAATTAGTATGGAAACCTTAAACATAAAGAAAACAAAAATTTGACATTTTATATTAGAGGTGATATTTTGAATTGAAATCTGTCTTGTAGGTAGAAGCATAAGGAGAGAAGTGTAAAGAATAAAACTGCAATTTATTAAATTTTGCACTTACATGGAAACAAAATTTAGATGAGGAAATGTGTTGTTGTTGTTTTTCCAAACTGAATTAATTTACTGTGGCTGCTATAACAAATTACCACAAACTGGTTGGTTTAGAACAACAGAGATTTATTCTCTTACAGTTCTGGAGGCCAGAAGTCCAAAACCAAGCCCCACACTCCTGGGATGTTAGAGGAGAATCTGTTCTTTACTTCTTTCAGCTTCTGGTACCTGTAAGCAATTCTTTCTTTATTTTTTTTATTTGTTTGATTTGGGGGGGGGGGAGAGAGAGAGAGAGAGAGAGAGAGAGAGAGAGAGAGAGAGACAGACAGACAGACATCGATTTTGTTGTTCTACTTATTTATGCATCATTGGTTGATTCTTGTATGTGCCCTGACCAGGGACCAAATCCTCAACCTTGGTATATGGGGACAGTGATTCTCTAACCAATTGAGCTACCTGGCCAGGGTCTGTAAGTAAATTAATATTATTTTTTTGTAATCCTCACTCAAGAATATTTTTCCCATTGATTTTCAGAGAGAGTAAAAGGGAAGAGAGGAGGGAGTGAGAGGGAAACATCAATATGAGAGAGACACGCATCACATTGATTGATTGCCTCCTGCATGTGCCCTGACTAGGCTAGGGAATGGAACCGGCAATCCAGGTATGTGCAGGAATCCAACCCATGAAACCAGGCATCCTTTGGTCCACAGCTGATGCTCTAATCACTGAGCACATCAGCTAGGGTTGTAAGGAATTCTTGACTTATGGCTGCCTCACACAGATCTCTGAGCTCTCTGCATCAGTGGTCACATTGCCTCCTCCCCTTCTGTCTGTTAAATCTCTTCTGTGTCTCTTATAAGGACACTATTATTGAATTTAGGTTCTACCTGTATAATACAGGATAATTTTATCTCATATTCCTTAATTACATTTGCAAAGATCCTTTTTCCAAATAAGGTGACATTCACAGGTTCCAGGGTTTAGGATGTCGGTATGCCTTTTTTGGACCACCATGTAGCCTTCTAGACACATATTAAGATGATTAAAAGTGTATTCATTTTTCTGATATTTCAAAATAATACTGGTTGTTTCTTTGAGGTCAGTTTTGTTACAGACCTTTTCCTAGAATTTTCAGAGTATTTTTTTTTTCTATTTCAATTCAGACGTAGCCACTGTTCAAAACAAGAAAAATTCAACATGTAGCCTCAGGCACCTTATAATGCCATTGATTGTTTAAAGTCAGATTGATCTTAGATTAGGAGGAAAATTGGAAAATAAATGTTTTATGGGCAAATTCAGAGACATTACTCCAGCACTCTTATTTATATTGACGTTTTCAAGTCCTGGAATTTGTAAATAATCCATCAATGTACCAGTTATTTAACTGACACTGGTGGTGGCTGGGAACTTGGGTGGGGCATCAGTTTCTGCATGTGTTTCTTCGCGTGGCCTGATCTTCCTCACAGCCTGGCGGCTCAGGGCTCCAGGAGTGTCCAGCCCCTGAGGGGAAATTACGTTGCCTTTTGCGATGGAGCTTCAGAACTGAGGTAGCATCAGTTCTGCTGTATTTTTATGGATGAAGCAGTCAGAGACCCACCCATATTTACGAAGAACCAGGAGAGAACATGCGTCCTACCTCTCAATGGGAGAAGTGTTGAAGAATTTAGGGCTGATTTTAAAACCGCCATACCAGGTTTCATGCTAATTTAAGTATATTTCCGTTCTACCTCAACAATCTGCTTGAAAGGCCATTAACTTGGGCACAGCATAGTAATATCTCTATGGCAGCAGTCCTCATGGCCCTGTATGGGGCTAGTGCCCTAGTTCTGAGTCCTGTCTAGACTTAAGAATCACCTGGGAAGATTTTTTAAAATACCAATATCTGCACCCTACACCCATAGATTTTGAGTTTACTTGATCTGGAATTGGATTTGGGTTTGAAGCATTTTTTCAATATGTAGTGTCTTGTTCATTGGCATCATGCCTGTTGTATGCCTATTCATCAATTCCTTTGGATGCTTCTGACTCAGTGGTTTTAGAATGGGATTCTCCAGTCCTATCGATGAGAACAGGAAGAATTGGGCAGGTGTGCTACCTTCTGGAGTAGATGTAGAGGTTTCAGAGGGCCGAGTCTTGCTGATGTGTGGCCATGTCACTGGTTTTGGAAGGAGGTGAGGTTGTCCATGAGAAATATGATGAGCAGGCCTGTGATGGGGGTATAACGGAAGAATGGGCAACAAAGGCTGTGCTCAGGAGAATATATGTATCCACGATGTCTGCATTCCTCTGTGCAAAAGGCGTCCTCCACAGCTTCTCAAACTTGCAAACAGCCTGTTACCCGTTCTGGGTTCCACATCCCCAGATCTACCTGACTTTACAGAAAGAATTGCACTGTAGTGAAATATAATTCACGCCAGACAGTCCGAGTTGTCCAGTTAATGGATAAGCTTCCTCCGATATTTTCTTCCACTGCTGCAAGCACAGTCATCTTGATGTATCATCTGTTCACAAAAGTGCAACCACAGGAGGAAATTAGAAACTGCGTTTTCACCACGCGGGTAACAGAGGGACCTTGGCTTCACATCCTGGCAATTCTCAGGTCTCCTGGAGTGGATCGGTTTAGCAGTTCTTTTTAACCTGAGGGCTGTCATTTAAAATGGACTTTGTTTTCAGCCATTCGTGAGTCTGGGAATATGACACATTTGCCTCTCTAACTGCTAGTAAGTTCAGAGAAGGCAAAAATTAATTTTTTTCTTTTCAAGAACTTTAAAAAATTTTTGTTTCTATATTATTTTTTATTGAATTTATTGGGGTGACATTGGCTAATAAAATTATGTAGGTTTCAGGTGTACAGTTCTGTGATACATCATCTGTAAATTACGTATTCACCATCCAAAGTCTAGTCTCCATCCATTACCATTTATCCCCCCTTTCCTCTCTTCTACCTGTCCCCACCCCCCTTTCCTCTGGTAATCACCGTACTGTTGTCTCTGTCTATGAGGCTTTTGTTTGTTTGTTTTTTTAGAAAGCAGAAAATTTATTCTTGACTGATCCCACGTAATGTCAGATGGAGAATAAGTCCATGATTATTTCCTGCTCGTGGCCTTAGCAGCAACAACAACAGATTAATTCCAAAGGGCAGTCATAGCTCCCATTTCAAATCACATCCAGATGTCCAGCAGTTCAAAGGGAGGTGCTTAAGCTGTGATTCCATGTCCCACAGGGAACAGAGGGAATTCATTCTTTATCTTTACAGACACATTTTCATTTTTAGCACTATGGAGCAAGGTCTTTTTCCTTAGGGAGCCTGCCATTAGCATTCTCACTAAAAGAAAGCATAGCGGATTTGGCATGCATGTGTGTTCTTGTGTGTG